CTTCTTCTTCTTCTTCTTCTTCTTCTTCTTCTTCTTCTTCTTCTTCTCCTTCCGTCTTACAAACTTTATTAGACTTCGGAAAGGGGAACAAAGAGCTCCTATCTCCTCTGTCCACTACTGTTTGCCATTGCCATTGAAGGGAGGGTTCACATGGTCGGGGGAGGACAGAAAGGCCTTGACCTGCAGCCAAGTACTGAGACTCACATAGGCAGAGAACAGGAGGGAGTTGTCCAGGCAGTCAGAGGCCAGGACCTGGTGGATCAGCAGCTGGTCCAGCAAGTTGTAATCGGCAACAGAGATCTGGTCACCCATAATGAAGGCTTTTCCTCCATGGTTCTGGGACAGCAGGGTCTCAAAAGGCTTCAGGTGCCCAGGCAGGGCCTTCATACAGTCATCCTTACCATTCTCATATTTGGTGTAGATGAGGGTGCCATATTTGCAGGAAGGTCCTCCACCCCCTCATTCACCATCTCCACCAGGGCAGCCTCCCTCTCATCTTTCCCATAAAGCCCAAAAGGCGCAGCCCAGGTGCATTAGATTGGTGCAGAGTGAGGTTACCATCCTCAAACTTGGAGAGCTGCCCATACAGACAGGTGAGCTTGAGCAAGCCTTGCATCCGGGTATCATTGGTAACCACCTCCTCCTTCCAGCTCTGGCCTTAGTCAGCCAGCAGCATGCGCATGGCCTCATAACACCCTCAAACTGGAAAGTAGAGAATGGTGTACACAGCATGGCTACTTTGAAGGCAGAGAAACTGGAAAGCAGACAGTGGTACACGTGGTATTACTGCTTTGAAGGCAGGGGTGCAGACTCAGTGCTTCATAGATGGTGAGGGATCTTAGATGCAGACCCCAGCCTCAAGTTCCCATTTGTAATTATTCTCACATGGACAGTTTTCATATCTTGTTTGGACTCAAAGATTTTTTTTACTTATTTTCTAAGGAAATATCTAAGTTATCAAAACATATTTATTCAGATGGCTCAAAATATGCCAAACAAAAATGCGGGTAGTAACTAGCCCAATTTGTAACTATTAAATATTTTGCTGAAATGGTATTTTAAGTAGGTTAGGTTTGTTTGTCTGTTTGTTTCTTTGTTTGATTGATTTACAGAGGTTTGGTTTTGTGGAGGTAGTGGTGGTTTATTTCTGTTATTCTCACATTTATATATGCTTTTTATGGTGGTGTGATTTCATGTAAATTTTTCTGTAGCTTGGGTACAATTTGATTAGGTATACTGGTAATTTAGATTGTTTTCTAATTATATTCATTTAGCAATTAAGCTATCACTTATATCTTGTTTTGAAAAGTTATTACTTTCAAAATGCAAACAAGAGAATCTAATTCAGAAAAAGGTTAAATCAGCTAAAACTGGAACATTTAAAATATTTTTATTATGTTTATGTTATGTGAATATTTACTTGAATGCAGGTACCCAGAAATATCAGAGGCATCAACTCCCCTAGATCAGGATTTACTGTCAGTTGTGAGTCACCCTATGTGGGCTTTGGTCACCAAACTCTCCTCTGTAAGAACAGTACACACTTTTAACCACTGAGCCATTTCTCTAGCTCAGGATTTTAAATTTTTAAAAGAGAGACAAAAGTTTAATGTATTTCTTTTTCTGCCCCAGAAAAAAAAAAAAAAAAAAAAAAAAAAAAAAAAAAAACAAAAAACTTGTTAAGGAAATATTTTTCTTTCTTTCGGTTTTTCTTGTTGAGTTTTCTGTTTGTTTGTGTAAGTTGGTTTGTTTTAAAATGGGGGTGGTGTTTTATTTCTGAGACAGAGTCTCACTATGTGCCTCTAGCTGCCCTGGAACTCAGTATGTACACCAGGCTGGCCACAAACTAGGAGATATGCTTCCCTCTGCCTCTGTCTCTCATGTGCTGAGATTAAAGGTATGGGCCACTACTTCTGGCTTGAGAGCTATCTATCTATCTATCTATCTATCTATCTATCTACCTACCTATCATCTATCTGTCTGTCTAATTTACTTATTTTTATTTCATGTGCATTTGTGTCTTGCCTGCATGGGTGTCTGTAGGAGGGAGTGAGTTAAAAATAGTTCTGAGTTGCCATGTGGGTTTTGGGAATTGAACCCAGGTCCTCTGGAAGAGCAGCCAATGCTCTTAAACTCTGAGCCATCTCTCCAGCCCGAGATATTTTCTTAATAGCTTTGTCTATAAGTAAACGTTGAAAATTACCCTGGGTTACATAGAGACCCTGTCTCAGAAGGAAAATATCAATCAGGAAAAATGTATATATTACTATTATGTATAGCTGACTTAAGTAAACTTTGTTTTCAGTAATTCATTTAAGGCTTAATCTTGAAAACACATACAGGAAGCTAAATAAATCTTTATCATGTAATTAATTGCATCAGTTCTTAGCATGACTTCAAATATAATTGTAAATACACTAAAGAATTTGATCTTTTAGGAGGTGACTATTAACTTGCATGTCTTAATTATCATTAACAGTTTATAATAATTAAGTAGGTTCCATAATCCTAGGATTTTAAGTTAGCCCTGTTAGGTTTGAACCTTAAAAAAGAATAATTTTGAATTTAATCTCTTTTAGTATCAAAATAAAGCTCTCCCCCACTACCCCAAGACAGGATTTCTCTGTGTATCAAACTTGTCCTGGAACTCAGTCTGTAGATGAGGCTGGCCTTGAACTCTGAAATTAGCCTGCCTCAGCCTTCTGAGTGCTGGGATTAAAGAAATGCACAAGAATGGATTCTGGGGCCTAGAGAGATGGCTCAGAGGTTAAGAGCACTGCTTGCTCTTACAGAGGTGGCTCACAACCATCTATAATGAGATCTGGTGCCTTCTTCTGGCATTTAGGTGTAAATGTTCTGTAAATGCAGGCAGAACATTGTATACATAATAAACAAACAAACAAAAAGAATGGAGTCTGGAGATTAGTGTTTTAATGGACTGTTGTGAATGATAACTAGCTGTAGCAGCACTTGGTCATCAGAGGCTGAGAAAAATGATTTTTTAATTAATACTCCTAATGGGCCAAGTATTATGGTAGGTAAATCTGCTCTCATTTTACCAGACATTGTTTTGATGGTATTATGAAGGGCTAGTGCTTAGATGAACCTACGTGTCATAACTTTGGTATTTTTTTTATAGAACCTCAAGATTCCAGAATTGTTTAAAGTGTATTATTTTTTGTTTTATTCAAATTGCTTCAATTTTTTGCTAGCTTGCAACAAAGATTATAGTTTGTGAGTCGAGGAGATGGTGACTGGGTAAGAACACCATCCTCCAAGCCTCATGACCTAAGTTCAATCTTCATCACACATGATGGAAATAGAGAACCAACATCTATAAGTTGTCTTCCAAGCTGTGACATGCTCAACAAGGCCCATGTGCCACTCTTGCCATTCTGAAACAAATAAACAAATAATCAAACAAAATGAAATGCATGTGTTTGAAATTAATCCTGGTAGATCCAAGATGGCGGCAACCAGTGCCAGGAGGAGCTGAACTCTGAATTGGTGAGTCCAGGGGCTGTGTAACCCAAAACAACAGTAGGAGGAGTCCAGGGGGTAGGGGGACAAATTCTGATCTGAGTCCAGTAGGACACAGGTAAACTGCGGACTTCTCAGTGAAATTCTCCTGGGGAATTGATTCCCGGGCACTTCCCCATAACGGGCAGAAGCAGCAGAGGGGTACCGCAACCAGCAGCTG